TACAGTAGAAGGAAAATATCCATTATATCTTGGGTGCTTCCTTTTCCCCTCATCTTTAGCAGCGTCCGTTTAGAGGTATCAACAAAGAGCTTTGCTTGCCCGTTGAACTGCGCGTGGAACGCGGCGAGCGTGTGTGACACTGTTCTGCGTACAGTACTCGGAGAACTGCACAGATGCGAACTGATGGGCATTGTCAGTAACCAGGGTCTCTGGTATTCCAATTCTTGCGTCACTTGTAGTGCATTCCATGCAGAACACTTCCGACTCCAGAGAGATCGCTTCTATGATAGATTCTTCTTTCTGGTGCTGCTGGCTTTCCAATATCCGGGAAAGTGCATCAGCTTGACCAGTGTCCTTTTTAGAAATGTGCTTTACCGTAAAGTCGTAGCTGGGTAATGTGGTGGACTACCGCTGCAACATGTTTGCGGTATAGACAGTGATGCCCGACTTTGATCCAAAAATTGCCAACAGCGGTTTATAGTCAGTAAGATGTGTAAACTTCTTTCCATATAGCACTTTTGAAATTTCTTTACAGCAAAGACTATCGCCAAGGCTTCTTTTTCTATCTGGTCATAATTTCGCTCTGCGCCAGACAGCGGCCGGACTGCATGTGCAATTGCCTTTTCTGAACCATCTGTGGGCTATGACCGCACCAATGCGGCCACCGCAATCTCCAAAGTAAGGTCGTAATGTGTCAGCAGGTCGGGACAGTAGCCTTTTTACCTCATTGAATGAGCTCTGGCATTATTCGGACCAGTTCCAGCGTTTATTTTGGTCAGTAAGTCATTAATTGAACCACGCAAGCTATGCATGTGCAGTAGGAACGGTCTGTAATGGCTTATGAGTCCTAGGAAGGACCTTAGCATTGCATCTTCTTGAGTGCCTCGATGTTCGCTGGGTCTGGACGCCTACCGTCGGTTATAAAGCCGAGAAACGTAATCGAGTCCATAAAGGATGTACACTTCTCAGGTCGAAGTCTGAATCCATATTCCTCAACACAGCCAAGAACTCGATCGAACTTTTCGAATAGATCAGCACTGCCTCCGACAACAATGATGTCGTCCATGTAAGCAGCTGCCCCATCGACATCTGTCAGCATTGAGTCCATGATCTGCTGGAATACGGGTGGTGCGAATTTAAATCCAAACGGGAGACGGTGATACTGGTACAAGCCTCGATGCATATTGATGGTGAGTAATTCTCGTGAAGCTTCATATACCTCGATCTACAAGTATGCATCAGAGAGATCCAGCTTTGCAAAACATTTACCACCATAAAATTTTGCGAACAAATCATCTGGGAGCGGTAAAGGGTGCTGATGGGTGTTCAATGAAACGTTTAGACCCGTCAAGAAATCGGTGCATAATTGAATCTGACCGTTTGCCTTTTTGACCCTCACAATGGGTGCCGCCCAAGACGAGTAGTTCCCCGGGTGGATAACCCCCGCTCTCTCTAAGCGATCCAGCTCCTGGTCAATTATTGATGTTGCTGCGTAACATACAGGGCGTCGTAGGAAACACTGGAACAGCATCTGGCTTAAGAGACAGTGAAGTTTGTACTTTAGTGCACTCACCGAGGCCATCCTGAAATACTGCTGCATATTTCTCCCGTAGGCGCTCGATACCTACAGTTTAAGGAGCTGTTGTCTTGGGTATCTGGACACTTGCACAAATCTGGTTGATTGGAATATCAAGTAAGTTGAAACGCTCGACCCAGTCCAGACCCAGTAGGTTTAAATTCTGGTGACTCATGACGTAAATCGTTCCCCATGCGGTAACGTTGGCATAATTACACTCCAAATCCACTTGACCAATCGATTTCAACTCGGCACCTGATGCACTTTTCGCCTGCTGACTGGTAGGTTTGATTTCTGGTGACCCGACAATTCTCCACAGCCTTTCTAATATGACCGTAATGTCTGAGACCATAGCGATCTGCAAACGCGCCTGTCTTCCATTGATGTTGATGTTAATGTAATTTCTACGATCTCTGACATCGTCAGTAAAATTGGCGTTCACTTTCCTCGCGAAACCACCGTAGGCATCATGAACCGGTCAGAAATATGGTTTGGATCTGCAGTGAGTTCCTCTGTGCCCACGACTACGACATTTCTGGCAGATATAGTTGTTGAATGGGCACCATCTAACAAAACGTCAGTTGCCCTATTGCCAACATGCTAATGGTGGCTTACCTTGAGGGATCTTCTTGTGATCAGCGACCGGAAACTTGTTCCTCGAAATCTGCTGAACTGCAAAATCATTGGAGTGCGTCTTCGTATTCTCAACCATAGGTGTATCGTGTTTTTAATTGATGATTCTCTGGGCCTCTGCAATGACAGCTTGCAGTGTGACATCCGGGTCTCGCTCCAACAACCCGAGTATTCTAGTTCGGATCTCGGCATCCTTAGGAGATTGCAAGCTGCATGCCAGTATCAGACACTCAAATTTGCCTTTAGTAAGTGATTTTAGCTTAAATTTATGGCAATCTCGCTTCACTGTTTTTGCATGGGCAATGAGATACTCGCTGTGCTTCTTACACACCTTCAGGCAATTGTACCGATGTCTGATCGCCGAACGTCTCCGTAATTCGGGAGTGTTACATCAAATCGGAAAGTTTGAGCACTTTTTTGTAAAATGTAATTGATGTATTTGTCGTGCTCCACAATTCCGAGTTTAGGTAGCAGCAACCATACTTTCGACGCATCATCAAGATTTGCCAGCTCCGTCTGGAATAAAGCTTTGTAACATCTGAACCATGCATCGAAAATCAGTCTTGAAGCGGGATCAAAAACAAACTCACTGACACTGTTGTTTATTGCATCAAAGGAAGGCTTCTCAGGATTGTGGACAGATGTATACCGGAGCGATAGGGTTCGAGTGAAAATCTCAATCATACGCAGTTGTAGCGCCTCGAGTTGCTGCTGCTGTTGAAGCAAAATAGCTTTCAGATCTTCTGCTGTGATTAACATCTTGAATAACTCTGCTCCCGTCGCCAGAAATTGATGTGTTTCCGCTGACAGTACGGATAACTGATACAGCCACACTTGTCACGATACAGTCACTTCCCAACTCAGAAAACAAAGGCCTCTGGCGGAACTTGTATGAAGCACCGGGAAGACGAAATGTATAGCCAAAATATGGGTTAAAGTAAGTAGTTTATGAGAGAAAAGACCTGATTAAAAGTTTCTGACTATATCGACTACTAGATGCGTAAGAACTCGCTTGTTTGCTGTTCAAGTAGTGCGCTTATTGGAGTACTTCAAGGCAGGTCATTCTGATCGGTCTACTTCAAGGTAAAACGACACCATTAGCTTACTCTCATTGGCTAGCCAATCAGCCGCAGATGGCATACAACTAATCTCCGGACTGCTTCAGACAGAGCTGATTTGGATGACTGCTACAGACGGCCTCCTGTAACACAAATCACAGAATGAGTGTATATTTTCTTCCAACTTCTTCCGTCATCTTGCCTTTGCACAGACATCAAAGGCCTCAGTAGTTTCTAAGTAGTAGTGGATAACCGTAGCTGGGGATGTGGATGTGGGTTTTGCACTGCTCTCCGAGCTGAATGATTCTTTTAATGTCCGTACATATGGATGCCGAAGGCCACCAGTTCGACTTAGAGCAGGTCAAAATCCTCGGAATAGCCACAAGCCGAGAAGCACGTGAGTTTATTGAGGTCTGGTATTCAAAGCAGAACTCGATCAATGAGCACTTAAGTATCGAAATCGCTTACGAGGCTCTGCGAAACAGGACATTAAAGCTGCACTGATGATGTTGCCTAGTCTGCAAGATATATATATATATATATATATATATATATATATATATATATATATATATGCACCAAGAATGATATCGTGGTTGAAGGAAAAAGCAACAGACTAGCGGAGCGACAAAAAAACTACACACAAACGACATTGAAATCGGCTCTTCTCCATCTCATCTAGTGTATCCAACCAAATGTGTTCATCGTCCTTCTGATGCCAGCTTGGCAGTCGGGAGGCGCCAGCCGACGCCAAATTCGAAGTGAGGGTTTTCATTCCTCTTGACCAAGTCATCGCTTGAACTCCCCTCCTTTTCTTCCATCCGGACCTCCGTCGCGCAATCAACACATGACATGGGAGTCGGTATGCTGGCATACGGAACACGTAGCCGTCATTGTAGCCTGGTGCGTGTTACGTTTGTGCTGAGCGGTTCTCTCTCTTCCTGCACCAAACACGATACGTCTAACACCTTCACGTGGTTTTCTCATCAGCTATGAGCTAAGATACGGAGGCAACGATATTTTTATGTAGCTAGTCTCTTTAGGTCTGTCGATTTGGCGGGCCAGATTTCAAAAAGTATGTGAGGGTTGAACGCAGGGCTGCATACTAAACGGTGTCCTTCGAAACGAGGGTGATGTAGCTCCGGCGCCACAGGTGACGTCATCAGCGTAAGCAGAAATTCCCTTTAGAATTTTCGGTGGCATTTGAGTCAGTAATATTTTATCAGAATATGAGGAAACTTTTATTACCTTTCTCGCTAATACACATTATCAGTAACCAAGTGCAGTTTATGATGCAAGGAAGAAGACTTAGATTAGCCGTTTGGTGTGTTATTTCTCAAGCCTATGGCAAATAAGTGATTTTTTGTGTACTCTGTCGTAGTTCGGTGTTTCTTGCTAATTTGGAGATAGTAGTGGTCGGGCTGAAATCTCCGTGACGTCAACGTTTGTTGCGACCTCTCGACCTTCTGGTGATAGTCGATAGTTGTCGTCTTATCAGTCTCTCTGACACTCATCAAATGTCAAGTTGGCCTTGAACATCATTTGACATCGACACGGGCTTGCGTCTCTTTGGCAGTCATCGCTGGCTTACAACAACTACATCGGACACACACCTCGACCCCCTGTACAGAAGTGAAGGAATCTGTCAGTTCTGTGATTTCAGTTTGTGTTGCTTTTACTCTGGGACAGCTGTGTTGCTACTTGTTCATTTACTCCATGGCGCCCTTTTATTCATGATCAACTTTTTCATCATCCTTGTTTTTTTCATTTCAGATGATTACGGATTCATGGAAACTACATCTCAATCACTCCACGCCCCATTGACATCACTGATTGCGCGATTGGATAGCAGCCACACAGACTCAAGTGATTACTTCAGCTCCGGCGTTTATGAACTTACGGACGACGAGGAGCCAAGCTGTGTCCGTTCGCTTGGATATCAAAAACCAAAGCACATGTGGATGGCGAAAGATAAGGTTCTAACTAGTAGCCTTAACTCCTCTAGTCCCTCTGTTGCCTCTCCCACCGTCGAGATGTGCAATTCGCTTTGTGTTACTGGTTCTACTTGTTCTGCGGTTTGCGTCACTGCAACATCTAGCAACGTTTCACCCCTGCCAACTCTTCTAATCGATTCGCCTTCGCCTCCAGCCGATTTGTCTATTTCTCCAGCTGTCCCTCACAACGCACACGGTCTTTCCATTCTTCCATCTGCCAAAAATACCGATGACAGCTCTTGCATCCCTACGCCACCAGCTGAAGCCAATGCACGTGATCCCACTGTATGCGCCAGTTCCAACTTGATCAATGGCTCCTTGACGCAGTTGTCAACTGCAGTTACTGTGGACGAAACAATCCAACAGGCAATTGTCAAACCGAAAGGGAGAAGTAACCGCACTACAAAGTCGAAGCGCACTTCTGTGACAACTCCTTCGGAACGTCCTCATAAAACGAATCGTAGACGATCAATTGTTACCGGATTAGCTAATGTGCTTTCAACCCCTGCTTCTTCATCGAACAATGAGGATAATGACAACGCATCACTCCACTCTAAACCCGTCCATTCTCGTCGAAAACGGTTAACACGTATTAATCATTCCAATACTGTTCGCAAAGACCGGCGAAATTTCTCTAAAAGGCGGCTCACCTTAACTCTTCCTCTTTCTCTACTCGGTCAACCACCCGTTTCCGACTCGGCATCTGGCAGTCCTCAGTCTGATTCAAGTTCCCATAATGACCCAAATTCCCCGAGATCGACAGTACACACGACGGTTAATCAATCGAAAACCATCAATTGTGAGCTACCGATTGTTTCTGGTGGTTTAAAGATCCGGCTTCGTCGCGATTCTGCCCCTTCGGACGTCTCATCAAAACGCAATAAACGGTGCAGAAGTAAGACCGATATTTCTTTTCGCATAGTTGAGTCTTGGTGCGATACAGACGCTCCCGGCGGTGATTATTCCCGAAGAGCCCGAGCTGCTGTTTCTTCATCCTCTTCGCCATCGTTTACCCCATTAAACGGGAGCATTCGCGTCGGCGACATCGTTTGGGCGAAGTTGGCAGGGTATCCTTACTGGCCGTCCAGAGTGAGTGCGATATGGGCTAGAACAGCCCACCAGTTATCGCAAGCTATTTTGTTCCCATCGCAACAGTTGGATGCCTCTTCACTCTCAGTTCTTGCCACTCCGTCAGATCCAGCACTCGCTGCGGGATACACTGCTAAAGTGGATTGGTTGGCTTGGGATCAGTGCTCTTATCTCAGTTGTGCCAAGCTGTATCCGTTCAAGGAGACCTATGATAAAATGTATAACCCACGTACCCGAGTCAAAGGCTATGCTGAAGCGGTGCGGTTAGCAAAGCGGTTCGCAAGTGAATCTCAACCAGCACTCGACAGCACTGAATCACATCTTGTGGAAATGTCACCGTCAATCAAGCCAGGCTCAGCGCATGTTTCTGCTCCTCCAAGCGCTGATAGCCAATGGTCCACAGCCAATACGCTTACATGTTCTACTGAGCCACCGTCTTCATTTGTTAGCAATCCCCCCTCTAGAGATACCATCGAGAAAGACATGTCAGTTGCTTCTGACCCGGCGAGTGCCCCAACAACCCAAGTTGAAGAAAAAGATCCTTTTTTAGAGTGTCGATCACATTCGCCTGAGCCGGCCAGCACATTGGGACCAGAGAGCGAAACATTCGACTTGTCTGTGGTTGGTGATCCATCTAACTGGGCTCCTCTGCCGCAGTTGGATGTAGCAGGTCTTGGTGATTTTGTGACGCATATACCGACATTTTCCGAAGACGAGGATGAGATTGAATCTGTGACCAGTCAGTTGCGAATTGACTTCGGTTCTTACGTATGAACTATTCTAGGATAGTTCAGCGCCTTGTGAGTTTCTGGGCTCTTCGCGCTCCATGGTTGTTGTCCAACCACAAACATGATCCATCTTTATATTTCGATGTGATAGATATCCTTTCTTTTCTCTTCTCTATTTTCCGAGTCGATGGACGCGTATTTTTCTTTTATTGAAGCCTATCTTGAACACTGAAGGGAGACGTTTTTATCATTTTTCGTGCGTTTGTACAGAATAATTTTGTGGTTGCTCAAGATTACTCGCGATCTTGGCTCCTCTTTGTACAGTAGTGACACTTGTATGTGTATGGATCTAGAGTCCGATTTTATCGGCGCCCCGTAGGCCTTCGGCTCTACGGTGTGTACAAATGCCCGATCTGGTAGTCACATTCTGTTCTCTTTAATCGGAATAATGGAACATCGAGATCTCTTCGTTCCGCACGTTTTCTAATCATTTGTGACTGGGTTGAGCGCTAAGATTGAGCTTTACGTCTCCGTGGGCTGTGTTTATCCAACTGATGCCTACCTTAGAACGTGATCGAATTTTCAGCTACGATGCTAATCTCTGAAACAGATTGCTTCCACTCTGTTAAAGCGTCATTCACTGTTTTTTCCATATCTGTATCGCTCCTTAGTGGTGTATGCTTAACACTTGCACGATACTTTCCACAATTTATGTACACAAGCGTTCGCAGATTTTCCTCCAACGCTCACGTTAATCTGTAATTGAAATGCGTGTCCTGCTCTTCAAGCGTTCTCTGATGTACAGACAGATACGGCAAGTGATACGCTCATTTATTAACGCCTCTGTGGTTATCAATAGTTGACCACATCCACTACGCCATGTCTATTCGGGCTGATATTATTTGTACCTTTGATCTCTTTTTTCATATCAATACTATTTTCGCCACTCGTGTGCTACGAATTTTTGACAAATGTACTTTGTTTGTTACGTTAACCGATTAGTGTTTTCTCTATTGGCATTTCGTCTTGTCTAAATTGCAGGTTAGGAACGTTCGCCAACGTGGCACGCTAGGTCATGGATCCTTTTCAATGGCTGTTTCAGCAAGGGATCAGCGCACTTTGGTTCGTCTAGCTTAAATGATACTAGAATCTCATTCAAGTCGTCGACTGTGGTTACGGTATTCCTCCTACTTTTGAATAAGGTGATGAAATGACAAATGTTGGTAGAGCGATAAGTAGAATACGGCGAACTCGTGTTCAGGACTAGGATGAGTATCCCATAAAGTCAGTGCGATAGCGCCTCAAATTGTCGCGCATGAGGGGTATCACGTGCACAGGTGACCTTGATCTCTGCAGCTCCTTTACGCAAGCTGTGTTCCGATCACCTTTTCTCTCGTGCCAACCAACCAATCGATTCCGACACCTCATTGTGTGATTCATGTACGCTGTTCTATTTTGGTTGACAACGCCCGTGTTCTGCCTACCGCGTTGCGGTTCGTGTGTTGTGCACTCACCTAATGCCTATTACCTGGTGTAAGAACGAGCTGCACCAAACAAGGTCATCCATGCACGTGACTAGCGAGGCAGTCCATCTGCTCTGCTTTCATTGCCCTACCTAACTGTGTGTCGTACAACGCGTGCTGTTGCTCATCTCGTAAGCGAATTATTGATATTGCTCCAGGGTCACAGGAACAATAGTACCGATTAGACTGCGCATGTTTCTTGGAATCACGTTCACATGTTTTTTTGTATCATCGTTTGTGATAGGCGGCGAATTGTAAATCCACACTTCATTGCTCTCTTCTAGGGTCGCACAAAACTAATTTGCGGTAAATTGCTCAATTACTGAATCATGTACGCCACATCAGTCGTCATCGACTGACCGTTAGTGCGCGCCTGCCTACTCCGTAGGTCCGGTGACAACGAATTTCGAATCTCATGAGTAAGAATAAGAAACGCATATTTAGTGCGAGTGACATCTGAACTCAGATCAGCACTTATGGTTTGTGCTGTGCCGTATAGCCGATTTATTTTTTTCCAGCCATCAAGTGGGGAGGAGGGATAAACGTTTAATAAGCCCCGTAAAACAAGGACATGAAATCCTACATTAACCTGTCGAAAAACAATATCAGCGGACTCACCGTGTTATTTATACAGACAAACCAATTTATCGGAAGGTTGGCGAACACGCTGTTTGCATTGTATCGTCTTTCGAGAATGGGCTATATCACCTAATGTTGGTCGTTATATTCATCAAGTTGGATGTTGGAACTGATAAAGATGGCGCAGAAACAAGTCAAAAGAACGCCCTATAGCTGACAAACACAGAGAGATATAGCATTCTGTCGAAGTTCCAGCAGGCCGGTCTGTATAGCCTACTTCAGGTGGGGTGCCACTTCAGGTAGATATGACTGTCTGCTAGGCGACGACAAATGTAGTTGGGAGTTTTCGGGGAGCCGATATATCATTGTAAGACCACTGTGTGTGCCGATGTCCATTGTACGCTTTTAACCTTCAGCCAGTTTGGTATCATCGTTGATCATGTTTCACTGCTGAGTCTTGAGGACGGCTTGCCCATGCTTCAGATTTTGGTCCTTACGTGCGCACCAAGCGTTTGTAGCGAGGTTAAGAGTTAGGCTCGTCCGACTATCCTCTGCATAGTACCGATGCGTTTATACCGAACTCATCTTCAACTGATACCTTAAGGTCTGTCTGGAGATTCTCTGCGAGACATGGTCCCTGTTTTGGAGAATATAATATCTTCTAAAACTCATCATTACAATAAGGTATATCAGCAGTACGCCGTACGGAAGTTTCGCCGCTGCGCGCTACCACCACTAGTCGCGCACGGGCTAGGCACACTGCGAGTTCACAAATACGAACCGATGAACTAGGGATTATAAGGTGGCTCTGCCTTATACCAGTCGGGGGGCACCGGTCGACTGTTCCAGTGAGAAAACGAATTGAACTGATGCTGATCGACGAGAACAATCAGTGGTATGAGTGAGCAACACCGAAACTCCTCCACTTGGGATACAGTCTTGGTGATCCGAATGACCGAGATCTACTTCAAAGTGAACCGGAGTCTTAATAGAAATTACATGTTGCAATCCAGCCACACGGTGAATACTCCAAACCTAAATTTCAGGAAGGTCCAGGTTCGTTAAACGATGTACTTGCCTACCTCCTTACTGGTTGAGGCGGTTCCAATTTCTCATTTCATCGTTTGGTGAAGAGGGGCTACCCTGGAAATATTAGGGCGTTGCTCTTCCCAACAATGGCACACCACCCTGTTCTCTGCATGCTAGTAACGTGCAAGCGGATAGTGAACGGCTCTATATCACATCTAGTAACCTAGTCACGTCAGTCGTTACTGTCCCTAGTAGTCAAGTCAAGATAGCCTTTATGTACCCGGATGGGTGCATTTTTAACACTTTACAGTATCAACTGAGAATGAAGCAAAATGACATCGTCAACATTGCAAAGGGAAGAGTGCATTGATGTCACTCGAGTAAGAAGATCCCCATTCTTGAGCACTAAGCACAAATTGATAAACAGAATCCTCGGGTTATTTTCATCGGAGAGAGTAGAGTCTTACGAAGACATTACTACAGAATCTATTTCAACCGGACTAAAAGTTCGTGGCCAAAAGCAACATCGCGAATAGTGCGTGGTATCTCGACTTAGTATTCCAAATGTAGAGAGTAAGACGGTGTTGGTCATCTTGGAAGTACTTCAGACAAAAGACGTCACAATACTCTTTAAGGTGTATATATTCACAGTAGATAGACAAAGTGATGTTCAATGAACAGGCAACGGCTGGTCTAAAGGCCCTGCCAAACAAACGAATGTTACCACAGACCGATAACAGTCGGGTCACGAGTTCTTGCTCCACAGGGGCCATATGGAATGCGCACTGCAGACGACTTCCAAAAGGATGAAATGGCTGTGTAGTGCTTTTCCGGGCATGTTATGGCTATCTACATGTGATGAGTTTCTGCTTATTATAACATTTAACTCTCCCTACTACTCTTTGCTATCGTTTTTGTCAGCTACTCTAATTGTTTCATAAACGGCGTTACTGATTTGCACTATAAATATACCTTAATGCTCACACTACTTATACCGTTTCGGTAGCTGTTTTTCTAAAACTTGTGTCGATGTTGTCTTCTGATTTTGACTGCCACTGTGAATCTGCGGGGAATGGAGTCATTTTCAACCGGAGTCGCATAGAATAGGAGAGAATGGACGGTCTTTGGGCATGTATGTGCCATTTGACCGTTGGCAGAGTTGCTTCCTCTTTAACCACTTATAAGCAATGTCTAACTCTCATCGGAATAAATCACAACCTTTGCTATCAGTCGCTCGCCACATCTCAACATCATCGATGAAAATAAGTTCGGGGACATCACGTGAAGGTTCACTAATGGGTGTAAGGGAAAATGCCTGGCACGGAACGTTGTTGGACACCACATCCGGTTTGAGCCGAGCTGGGCAACAATACTCGAACTCATACGTAACCACGCTGAAGTAGTGTTGCCAATCTGCTCGTAGACTTAAGAATTACAAGCCTGCTTTGGAGCTTGTGAGTGATCCGGTGGTTTAAGCATTCGACGGCCTTGGAATGATGTAGCTAAATAACCTATTCCGATCCTGCTACTAGACATTTCGGTCCGATCACCGTGTAGTCAATAAGTTGGTAGTGCATGACCGGTTTAGACGGATGCCTGCAATTCCGGTCCCATGATGTTGTCTCTGTCATGAATATTTTATTAATCTCTCCACGACACCTGTTTTATAACAGGGGAAGATCACTGGATGATGGCCTGCAGGTCCTGAACGGTTGCGAGTAATCTTAACACGTTATCTGACGATAGATGTTTGGTGATCTTAAGGATCACAAGTCTGCCTTGTAATCCTGAGGTCGCTGGTTCGAGCCTGCGTAGCGGACCGGGCGACCTTCGCAGTATACTTAGCTCACGCGGGACTGGTGGTGGTTGCGCGGCAGCGAAGCGTCGGTACCCACGTACTGCACACCTACGCACC